AACAATCCATGCTTCCAACAGATTTGTGTGCTGGTCTCCTGTTTAGATGCTCTGTTGGGGAAATTTGTGCGAGAGATTTCTCCTATAGTATAACTTATGCTTAGCTGTGTTTCCTTTCTTTTTGTTATCTTATGTTATGCCTTTAATTTATTTGGTTTATTATTTCCTACTTTCTTCCTGTGCCTTGCCTAATATTGCTTAGCCCCAAAGGGAACAGTGTTATGGGTATGTATATGCCTAACAAACAAAAGGACCAGTAATGTCCTTTCCAGTTTGCTAATTTCTCTATTACTCTGGACAATTTTGCAGTCCAAATGTATCACTCTTTAACCAAAGCTGTTTTGATCACACTCCCACCCACCCCCTTCCCAAGCTTATTTTTCACTGGATTCCTTTAAGTAAATATGAATTAATGGAACCTGGGATACTGTGAAGCATATACTTCCAACATCCCATTTATTTAAAGTGTCTCTGGGATCCATCCCTTAGCCATCCTAAGAAAATAAAAATTGTGGGTGAGATCGATTACTGCATTGTCTGGAAGTGGACTCATGCCCCCATTCCTCCCCCCCAAAAGAATGTTTCCTTCCTTCCTTCCTTCCTTCCTTCCTTCCTTCCTTCCTTCCTTCCTTCCTTCCTTCCTTCCTTCCTTCCTTCCTTCCTTCCTTCCTTCCCTAAGCCTATGATGACAGCCCTTTTAAGAGAGTTCCACAATTTATCATCACAATTTCAAAGTGTGCTCACCAAACCAAAAAAGATAGCTTAAAAACTGTGTTGGGCTATCTCCTTAGAGCCAAGAATTATGTATAAAGCACTATATAGTGGACCAGTTAGAATCTTTACATTACTAATTTTTCAAATAGGGCTGACAGATATATTTTAATAAAGATAATACTTATCATCTGATGGATTCAGTTAACATGCAGTTGGCTATCATAGCAAAATTTATTTATGAATCAAAATGTACTTTGTGGCGATGCAGATATATAGTAGAAGTGGCTATTCATGATAATGGCCATACCGTTGAATATGTTTCTGAAATGGTTTCAATGACATTATATAAAATTATATTTTCTATTGTTAACAACTCATTTGAATAGTTCAGTCTGACAGAATTTTCAACCTAGACTGACAATAAAATTGTTCTCCAGGAACAATGACAAATATGAGGTCAGGATAAATGGCAAGCTTTGTTTTATCTAAGTTATCCAAGAAAGAAAGCTTTTAATGTTTAGTAGTATAGAAATGTCATTAAAGAATTTTATTTTTATGTCAGAATAGAATAGCTATTCAAAATGCACAACAAACTTTGTAACCCTGCATTTAGTATTAATAGGATTTTACAAGATCAGTTCCATCTAAAGTAAAATGTACAAGCTTTCTTTGACAGAGGGTATTCTTTGCATATATAAGCAGTTAGGAGCTGAATTTCAACACTATTCTAAAGGGATAAAAATATTAACATAATAAATCTAATTAAGAAATCTGAGCTAATTAAATTTTGTAGATCTATTTTTTCCCTAACATATGGTGAGGTGCTTTTGCATAACAAATTGCATTGATCTAATCCCACAATATGAACGACAAGTTTAGGATAGAGTGCTCCTTCAATCTGCTCCTTCAAATTAGCCATTATTAAATTAGCATTTTAATGCTGTATTATAATTTATAGTATGTACTTGGAAAACAAAAGTATTTTCATCTTTATATGTATACTCATCTCACTTATCTAAACATCTTCCATCTTTAAAAAAAAATGAAGAGAACCAAACTAAGATTTTTTTTGAAGTATCATGAGTTTATCTGATACTTGAAAAACGTGTTAGTTTGGTTCTCCTCATTTTTTGCTGTATAAAAGACAAACGATGTTATTTTTTAAAAAATCTTATTAATGGCCAGAATAAATTAGGCTTTTAAAATAATTAGGCTACAGTTATGTCTAAACAGTTTAATTGTGTGAGAAATCATTGACAAATCTGAATCTTTTCCTCATGGATAATTGACTCACTTAAGTGGCGGTGTGAGTTATCTTTGCTAAAGCACTCATTAAAACTGAAACTATGCACAGCACCTTGGATCATATGAGAAACTGAAGCATCTGCGGCCTTTTAAATTTTATTGGAGAATATCATCCCAGACTATTGGCTATGCTGATAACTGGAATCCCAAATCCATCTGGAGGACTATAGCTTCCTTTCCTCCATCTAAGTAATTCATAGCCATGGATTGTCCTGTCAAATCTCAATGACTCTACAATGAGTGTCTTCAACTTATTTCACTTAGAGAGATTTCAGACATTCATTCACAAATGCATATTCACTGTATAGCATTACAGATTAAAAAAAAAAATTATAGATGAAGTGTTAGTAATACCTGACATCATCTCATTGTCAAACTCCATGTGGCTCTCAAACCAAAGAAGCAAGAGCTATGCAGGTTTCAGAAAGGCCTCTTTAATGCTAGCCTGAGGTAAAAACATAATCTTGAAAACCATAAGAGTAAATCTCCAGCCAGATTCATGGTGAGTTGTTTAAGCAGATCTCATTGATACACTTTATTCCTAGCGTTCTCACATTCACGTTCCCCATAACATTTTCCTATGAAAACTAAAATGGGTATCTAACAAGCATGGAGGTTTTTGTAGTTCTGATTAGTAACTGTCGGTAGAATTATATATCCTTATGGGTAGCTAAGTTTTTGCAATCTCTACCAAATGTGAGTCCTATGGAAAGAGATTTCCAAGATTTTGATTTTACATTATTATGCAGTATAGTAATTACTACTATTAATATATAACTGACCCACCTAAGATAAAACAAACATAACCTACATTGATCAAACAATTCAATTCATTAATCAACAATACTTTGTTGTTCAAAATTTTGCCTCCAACTTCCCAGTGAGTGAATTTCAGTTATACCATGGTTCCACAGAACATAGATATCTTAGTTCTACATCCACAGAATAAAATCTACTGGCAACTTAGTATTTCAGTTTGGCTTTATCTGAGGTAGTAAGAGTATTTCTGAAGATGATAGGATCCCATAAATATTACGCAGTTTCCCAAAAGAAGTACATAAACTTTTTCCTTCCAAGTGTCACTTGCGTGGTGACTTTGCCCTTAAAAAGCTAAATGAAACTGTTCATAAGGGTGAAACTACCATAAATTTTATTTAATTATCTGTTAATGTATTCTAAGAAAGGTTGATAGAATAACTAACTCAATATATGTTGTTGTTTTCATTATACAATAAACATCTTATTAAACGTGGTACCCTGAAAAGCAAATTGTACAGTCAAGATGCATCATTTCCTGTTATTTTACCTTTTGCAAATTATAGATTAATACATATAGCACAAATCACTGATTAAATCAGATTTCACATGAATTGAAAAGTGAAACCAATGACAATCATGTCATGGTAATTATACATTTGTAATATTTTAGAAAGTATGAGTAACAGAAAAAAATAACTTAAAAATGAAAGTCTTTGCTATCCATCTAATATGGGAAAATAATGAAAAGAAGTAAAATACAGTATAAAAAAGATATTCCATGATAGCATCATTCCACCCTGTTATACGTCCCATAACCAGCAGGTAAACAGGCAAAATAATGAAACATAACTCTGACTCATATAATGCAAAACACAATTTGGGGAATTAGGCACCAATTTAGAATTTGCAAAATTATAATTTTATTTCTTTGTTTCTTTAAAATATAAGTCCGTTGTTACTTTGGACTTCCATATTTGAGCTGCAAAAATCCACACGTGCATATACACAGAGAGAAAAATTTGCCATCTCATGATTGTCCAGATTTTTCTAGACTAGATATAGTAGCCCTACATTACTGCATTTGAAGAAAGCAATTATATACTTTGTAAGCATTTATAAGCAATGAACTCATAGATCAAATTAAGGGCAAACAATTTTAATTAGGAATGGCCCCAGGATGTTGAACCCATCAGCCAGAATGTGAATTCTGTAGTCCAGTGTTAGAATTTTACAGTATGAATTTTGTGCATAAAATAGATCAAACTACTGACAATAGTTTTAATATATAATACACTACAAAGCCAGATATATCACTTACACTATCAATACCTGGCAAATTGAAATTGGTTTCCACACTCCTAGGCTAGCTAGACAGGATATTATTAGTGTACCTATATTGTACATCAAGTATGAACTACATGGGAGGCATAGAAAAAGATGGATATGCCTACTACTTTCCTTTGATCATTAGAATTTCAGTTTTTTTCAGTATGTTTGCTACATTGGAGAAGCATTAAACTATGCAAAGTCAATCTAATTAGTAGCAATTAGTTACCTTTTAGACAGCTGCTGGAATATTTGTCTAGCATATGGACAGGTATTTTATATAATTGAGTTGATGAAACTGGTGGTCAGTATCTCAGCTCACCTATAGAACTAAAACTGAACACAGATGTTCAGAGCAGTCCAACATTAATAGCATCTTTCACTGACCAGATCATTCATACTGTTTTTCTAGCAGCCACGCTGTCTCCCAAATATGGCTCCTTTGCAATTATATGTATATGTATGTGTGCTTGTGTGTGTGTGTACCAATTCATTATCCCCTTTGCAAATAGTGAATTAGAGAGAGCCATTTTAGGCACATCTTACAAATCATAATTAAACCTATAGAATAGTTGGATCCTTACACTGCAGAAGTGACAATTTAACCTTTTTTTTAAAATGAACTCTAAAATAAATTTACAAAAGCATATCCAGTCCAAAAAATCTTCACTAAACAAAAGCAAAGTTAAAAGCCTATCACTAAACTTCACCAAATGTCTTCCAGTGGGATTCAGTTATACAGTTCCAACTATTGTTTTATGGAAGCCCATTGAGAGTCTTGCTCAGATAAAACCCATAGGATGTTTAAAGGAAACCAAAGAAAATCATATATATTTGTGCTATTTTTCCCCCAGAGGAAATTTTGCTGCCATTTTTTTACAAATTAATTCACTTACCATATTGTTGGTGGTTCTGAACCTTCTATTTCCAAATAATCATATTTCTCTTCCATATGAAAATCCGTAAAGATGAGAGAAATGGTGTCTCCAGGTTCTGCCACAATTGTCCATGTACAGTCTGCATTATTGTGGTACTCATTTGGAAAATTAGGACTTGAGATAATGCCACTGGATCCCCTCATTGTTCCTCCACATGCATCTTCCGCTGTCCAAAAAAAAACAAATGGGAGCTATCCGTCAGAAGAAAGTATATGAAAACAGGTCTTTACCAGCATATTAAAATGTAATTTTCTTAAGGACTGCAGGAAGAAGAGAATAATGTAAACCAGGTTTACTTCATCAATTCTTCTGTGTGTGTGTATGTATGTATGTATGTATGTATGTATGTGTATATATGTATGTATGTATGTATGTATGTGTATATATGTATGTATGTATGTATGTATGTGTATATAT